CCATGATTCTAGGAACAGTCTTTTTTGAGGATTCGTCTCAACGTCAACGATGCATGCGTTGTCGAAGTTGATGCGATGGTCCTTGACGTCGCAGTGCTCAGCGACCGCGCTACGCTCGTGATCGAACTTGCGCACGTCGTTTTTATGTTGACGGATTCTCTCTCTAAAGTTCTTCGTTTCGCCGATGTATGAGGCCGCACAAACCCCGCACGGAATCTTATATATAACCCCTTGCGCTTTTTTTTTTACCAGGGCGATCTTTTGGGCGTGGCATGAGTCGTCCAAGGGTAGACACAGGCTTGTGCTCTAGTTGTTAGTCAGCGCTGCGAGTCTGTATATCCGCGCTGTTCCAACCAAATTGATGATGGCAGCAATGCACGACAGTGACAAAGGTTAGTGTGTTTTAAATGTAGTACTTCTTCGATATGGCGGAAAGCAATGAACGGCAATTTCGGCGGGAAAGATGCCGGCGCGTAAACGAATTCTTCGAGCTTTCTAACTCTGCGAAAGTAGACTCGGTAGCAAGGGATCTTCCTCGCACGAACATTAATTGTGATTTTTTTTCTAGACCATCTTAGCTTTCTGCTGTGACTGTCATCACAAATTAATGTTTTAGGAGCAGTGAAATCAAATGCAGAGCGCGCAAACAAAGCTGACGTGGAGACCATCCTAAAGTATGGCTGCGCCACGCTGGAGATAAACTGAAAAAGCTGCAGTCAAAGGCCGGAGGTGTTCGACATAATGGTAAGTTTCTCACATTACCTGTTTTTATTATTAATGCTTATGAAATTGATTTTTTTTTTTTTTTTTTGTAGATCCCGCTGATTATTTGGACTAGTGCTGACCAAGATGCGAAGCCAGACTGCACGTCTGGTGCAGATATTGAAAAAAGTCATGTATAGCATTTCCTCTCCAATAAAGTATTTCTTGAACAGTTACCTTTGTTTGCAATAATGAATGGCACGATCATGCTCATAGTTACAGGCTAAGAACATAGCGCAAGGAAATACGCGAAAGTTAAAGCCGACAGCATGATGGAGGGGAGAGGATTTCTTTTCTCCTCTTCAGCATTCCGCCAGCTTTCTTCCTCATTTCCCTTGCCCTATGTTCTTAGCCTCTCACTGACTAGTAATCTAGAATTAGTGTGTAATTTCACTTTAAATTAGCGCACAACAATGCATGTTTTTTTTCTGCAGGCAGCTCTTGCAGGCATCTTCAGGTTCAGTTGGAGAAAACCTAGAAACAATAAAAATGAAAGCATCCTAACAGCTCAGTGAACAGCTGCACCTGCAGTGCATTGTCCTAAAAATGTACTAGAAAACTCCTTGGCTGCCCTCCTGAGGACGTTCTGAGGATGTCCTGAGGCCGGACAATAGGACGTTTTTAGGATGTTTCCAGGATCATTTGAGGACATCCTCAGGACATCATAATGTCCTCAAAAGGTTGTCCTGAGGGCATCCTGGGGATGTCCAAGTGTTGTCTGGGAATTATCTTGCAGTATATCACCTTATTTAGTAAACATGTTGCATTTAAGTTAAGAAAGAAAGAAATATAAAACATTGTTTTTGCCAGAACAAAACGAAATATCAACGAGTCTGGTAACAATGTATTTTTTCCGAATATATATCTTTGCCGAATCTTTAGAAAAGTTCGGCAAACGTTCGGCTTTGCCGAATCCCAAGATTTGGCATCGAACTTCCGATTCGGCAAAAGTTCGCCCCATCACTAATTTTGAGACAAAGCGGGGGCTATGAAAAAAACGCTGGAACGCCCGACGAATGTTTCAGGCGGCGGAATCTGTGAAGCGGGCAATACAATAGAATGTGCCAAACAACCTGCATAGCACACATGCTGTTTTACGTACCTCACTCCTAGCAAACTGCGACGGACTCTACATTTTGCCAGGTAGACGACGCGCCCTAGAGCAGCACATTCCAGCGTGCTAGTAGCCTTGATTCCAATCATTCATTTGTGATAGAAAACCAGCTATCAATTGTTTATCCTGTACTCACACAAGTGCAGCGTGCCACAGGGTGTTCAAAAGTATCGCATCATACAGGTAGCAAAGCCTGAATGGGTTGATGACTGCATTTTATTGATTTAATTAGAATATTTACCTTTTCACACAAAGCTCCTGTTGTTGCATGTCACTCGTGGTGCAGTGGTTCATGTGGTAGTATTTACCTGATTGTACCGGTCGTACCGGGTAACAAGCAACACTACGTGTAGAACGTTTTGAGATCCCCTGGGCGCTGTGTCCTCTTCTTCCTCTTTTGTCCCCCTACTTGCCCCGTTTATTCGGACTTATAAAACAATATTATTACATCTCTTTTTCCCACGCAAAAGTCATTCGCCAAATCTTTTTGGTTTTCTTATGGTCCGTCCGGACCGGGTCTTTGGGATGTTTTCTTCTGTAGGAGGAACACAGAATTCTGGTGTGCTTGCTTCAGGATGTGTTTGGTCGGTTTGGTTTGGGTTTGGTTGGAACCAGGTGATGTGTATTCCGGCGGAGATATCCTGACCTTGTCCTGATAGTGTAGGATCGAGGTTCTGGTCTCTTGCCCGTAATTGTTTCAGTTGCTTTGCTGTCTCTTACCCATACCTCGCTGCCGATATCTAACTCCTGTTTTCGGCACACTCCGTGTCTCTTGTCGTAGTTTTCCGCTTGCTTATTTTTTTCTTCTCGATCCTTCTTCCGGAACTCCTCATGGTTGGGCAGTCTTGGCAAGAGTGTAGAAGCCAATACTGGCAGTGTGGTTCGCAACTGCCTTCCCATCAGAAGCTGTGCTGGACTGTACCCAGAAGGTCCTGGTGTTGTTCTGTAGACCAGTAATCCAAGCTCGGGATCTTCAGACTTCTTGATGATGTCTTTGGCTATGTTGACCATCCTTTCAGCTTCCCCGTTACTTTGCGGATAACGTGGACTGCTTGTAACGTGCTCGATCTTGTAATCCTTACAGAAGCCTTCGAATGGCTTGGAGCTGAATTGTGGACCGTTGTCTGACCGCAGAACCTCAGGTATTCCGTGACGTGAAAATAGAGCCTTGAGATGTGATATGACTGCTTCTGAAGTGGTTTGTCTCAGTCTGGTTATTTCCACGTACCTCGAGTAGTAGTCTACGACGAGCAGATATTGGGCTCCTTTCAACTCGAACAAATCGGTCCCAACTCGTTGCCATGGTCTCTCTGGTAGCTCAGACGCGATCATCGGCTGTGTTTTTGGTACCCACTCGTGTGCGCAGCTGAGACAGTTTGTGACAACGTCAGCCATCTGAGAGCTTAGTCCTGGCCACCAAACTGACATCTTGGCTCGTTGCCGGCATCTCGAGATACCCTGATGGCCATCGTGCAGTCGGTGCAAGACTTGCTTCCTCATTTGACTTGGTATCACAAGGCGGTTGCCTCTCACGAGTAGGTTTTCTTGTACCGTGAGGTTGTGTCTTTCTTGGAAATATGGGGTTATCTCGATTGGCACTTGCTGCTTGCTAGTTGGCCACCCTTTTTCACAGTACTCCCTCACTTTAGTACAGACGGGGTCGTCCTCTTGCATCTTATTTACCTCGATCAGGTACTCCCGGGATGCAGGGACTGACTGAAGGACGACTTGCACAAAAGCCTCGGTTTCTTCTTCCATATTGTCTGGAGGTTCAACAGGTGACCTTGACAGGGCATCGGCCGTCCAGAGTTCTTTTCCAGGCACGTGTGAGATTGTGTAGCAGAATCTCATCAGCCGCAGTTTGAATCGCTGAACTCTGGTTGAAATCGCATCCAGCTCTTTGGACCCAAGAAGAGGTACGAGTGGACGATGATCTGTTTGGATGTGAAACTGCGTTCCTAGCAGGAACTTCTCGAATCGTTCACATGCCCATGTCACGGCGTACGCTTCTTTCTCAATCTGTGCGTATTTTGTTTCTGTGGTACTCAGTCCTTTCGAAGCGAAGGCTACTGGTCGAATGTTTCCGTTCTTGTCCTTTTGTAGTAGCACTGCCCCCAAACCGTAAGACGAAGCATCTGCTGAAACAATAATTTCTTGTTGCGGATCATACAGTGTTAGGGCTGTTGCCTCCTGGATGTCCTTCTTCACTGCATTGAATGCTATTTTCTGTGCAGTGTCCCACGTCCACTCGCTTGCCTTCTTGAGAAGGTCACGCGGAGGCTTCAATTTTTCGGAAAGATGGGGGATGAAGCGTCCTACTTGGTTTGCCATTCCGATGAATTGTCTCACATCGGTCACTGTCGTTGGCGCTGGCATATTGAAGATGGCTGTGACCCTTTGTGGGTCTGGCTTGATCCCTTCCTGGCTGACGATGTGTCCCAAGAACTTTATGGACTTTTGTTTGAACTCGCATTTGTCGTTGAGTCGGACACCTGCTGCTTTCAACCTCTGAAGGATTTCCTCTAGCCTCTCATCATGCTCTTTCTCGTTGGCACCAGTGATTAGGATGTCGTCCATATGGCATAGGACTCCTGGGATTCCTTCCAGGATCTCGTTCATCCTTCGTTGAAAATACTCTGGGGCGGAAGAAATTCCAAACGGCAATCGTTGAAAACAAAATCTGCCAAAAGGTGTGATAAAGGTGGTCATAGTATGTGACTCTTCTGCCAACCGAATTTGCCAAAATCCGGACTTGGCGTCTAGTTTTGTGTATAGTGATGTGCGTGACAACCGTCCCAGTGTTTCTTCGACAGAGGGCAAAACTAGCTTTTCGCGTTCTATGTTCTTGTTGAGGTGTGTCAAATCCACGCAGATCCGTACTTCTCCGTTCGGCTTGGGCACAACAACTATTGCAGAGCACCACGGTGTAGGCTCTTCAACTTTCCTTATGATTCGATCTTTCTGCATGCTTGCCAGCTGCTCTTGTACTTTCGTCATCAGTGCCAGGGGGACACGCCGTGATGTGTGGACGGAGACTGGCGTGGCGTTTTTCGAGAGTTTGATTTTGTACTCTCCTGCCATTTCTCCGAGACCTTGGAACAACTCAGGGTATTGTTCATGGTACCTCTTGGCTGTTTGGTCCGAGACTGTGCACAGAAGTTGGATCAGCTCCAATTCGCTGCTGGCTTTTCTTCCCAAAAGAGGCTCTTCCAGGCCGTTCACTACGTAGATCACGTGCTGTATAGATTTATTGTTATGTTGTATCGTCGCTTGAAACTTGCCCAACACTTCGAGTTGCTGCCTGTTCGCACCGTAGAGCTTGGCAGCTGTCTCCTCAAGGGTCACCTTGCTTGGGACAGTGTTTGGAGGCATGGCACTGACGTCTGCACCAGAGTCTATCTTGAATGTAGCAGGCGTTCCGTTGACTCGCAGTTTGACTTTCCACGCACTTTCTTCAGCTGCGTGGATGCTTCCAATCATCCAGTTTGGCGCTTCATTTGGGTCCTGTAGAGTCACCTCTTTTAGGGTGCTCTTGCCCTCATTCCTAAGCTTCTTAAAGCAAACTTGTTGCCAGTGACCTTTTTTTCCGCAGTTGCGACAGATTGATCCCGCTGCGGGGCACTTGGACTTTTCGTGTGCACTGTTGCCACATCTTCCACACGTCTGTGTTCTAGCCGCATTATTTTCAGCGTTTTTCGGCGGGTATTCTCGCCGCTTTGCGCCTTTCTCTTTTGCTGACTTTCTTTTGTCGAGGGCATCCAGCGTCATGTCTTCTGCTTGGGACTCGCCTCTGACGACGGGTTGCTGTCGATGCACGGCTTCTTTCTGTCGAGCTCGAGTGTGCGCAGCTTCCAGTGTCAGATTTGGGTCGCTTTGAAGTTTTCCTGAGAGCGAAGAATCTTGCAACCCGTGAAACCCGTGAAACCCGTTGCTAGCAGTGTCGTTGGGGCCGTTACGTTCTCCGAGTTCGATGAGGCTTCCATTTCCGGAGCACTTCTGACACCATGTGGTTGTATTTACCTGATTGTACCGGTCGTACCGGGTAACAAGCAACACTACGTGTAGAACGTTTTGAGATCCCCTGGGCGCTGTGTCCTCTTCTTCCTCTTTTGTCCCCCTACTTGCCCCGTTTATTCGGACTTACAAAACAATATTATTACAGTTCACGGTGAGATATGCGAACGTGAGACCCACATTAAATGTAAATTAAACCAGGGTAGTTGTGGACGAGTCTAGGACAATTCGTCGAAAGCCTATTCCTGAACGGACAACAGGCAAAAAACAATTCACACTAGGCCGATTCGTAGAACGGATAATTTGTCGAAGCTGGCCGTTTGCAAACAATTTTATTATTCGGACGTAAGCATAGTAATGCACTAAGTACTACTATTATTACATGTTCAAGATAGCATCTCAGATTGCTTGACTGAAAAGTGAAGCCGTTTACAACTCCCTGTAACACCAAATTAGAGCGCAGCTCTTGAGGAGGAGGAGGGAAGGGTACCTCGGGGGGGGGGGGGGGGGTCACGTGATCTCGGGGAGGGGGGATCACGTGACTTCGGGAAGGGTGGGTCACGTGACCTCGGGAAGGGGGGTCACGTGACTTCGGGGGGGGGGGGGGTCACGTGACCTCGGGAGGACCTCGGGTACCGAAGGTACCCGAGGTCCTCCAGCCGCCAACGCCGCCAACGAACGAGCATACGGCGCCGAGAGCAGGCCTTTTTAGCAGACGATCTTTTCGACTCAAAAGCGGCGCGCGTTCCGCAGGCGGCGACAGTTGCAGAAACAAAAAAGGCAGGCACGGTAACAGCAAGGAACTGCAGTTCCTTGTCTGCTAAAGGGCCAGCCCTCGGCGTCGTCTGCTCGTTCGTTGGCGGCAGTTGGCGTCGCAACCGCTTGCGCCATCTCTTGTCTCCCGTGCGAAACGGCGCCGTGTTGTTTGCAGACTGGTGGCATCGCTGCGTTTCCATGGGAGCTAAGCCTTTTTCTTTCTTTACTTTTTCCTCAGGTAAGTTCACTCTTTGCAAATTTTACAAAGAAAAAATGCACCATCTGTGGGCAACGCTGCACAAAGCAGTAGCGCGATAGATTAAGAAACAGAATTTTCCGGTCGATTTAAAGAGCCTGGCGTCTCCTTGTGTCACCCTGTAGTATGTTAAATATAACATTAAATTTGGCATATTAAATTGCATATTCAGAAAGTACAAGAGCAAACAAAACATACAAAAATAACACTGCCCAAAAAGCCACACGTTTGCAAGAAAGATTCCTGTGCGCTGCCATTTGGAGCGGTGCTGGCGCCGCGCGTAACGTTTCCGCCAAGTTGAGGTGGCCTGGGACAACAAGATGGCGGCGTCTGCTGCATCGCCGATGGCCGACCTTAGCGCATGTTAGCGACGTGCCTGCTGTTTCGAAACGCAGGGGGGTTGGGGGGGGGGGGGGGGGGTTCAGACAATCGTGACATCAATTATTGTAGGATGGGGCATGTTTAAGGGTTGGAGCTGACTTTATAACAATCGCAGTCTCTATTCCAGCGCGTCTGGAAGCCAGCGCTGCCTCGAGCGCAGCCCTCGTTGATGCAATGACGTTCCTCCTGACGTTCCTTCCGTTTGCATTCTTTGGAAGCGTTTTTATTTTCCTTTTGGTTTTAACTGGGATGAAAATAGCCATGTAGCACGCGGTAAAAACGTTTCTAAAGACAATGAAGGTTCGTTCTGGTTTTATTCTTGTATTCCTTAAGATATTGTGACGAATGACAATTGATGAGGCGATGGTAACTGATGAAACTAAACGTTTAATGGGGCGAACTTGGGCCAAAAACAACAAAAAAATAAACTGAAGATAACAGAACAGCGTCGCGGGCGTCGATGGCGGCGTAACGATCGTACGCTGGGGCGAGACTGACTGCGGCTCGCCACGCGGAGCCCCTTATATACACGCGTGGGATTCTAGAATAATCGGCGTAGAAGGTTCGGCGTGTAGAACATTCTTACCTCGAACAAGCCCCAACACGGTTCTCGAATTTACCAGAACATTGCGTTAGAGTCAACAAAAATGCGTCCCCGCGGTAAGGAATCGAACCCTGGCTTTCTGCGTGGAAGGCACACACGATAACCGTTATAGGCCACGAGCGCGCAGCATGCTTTGGCAGCTACGCTCCAGAGACACTTGGCAACATTGTATGACAAGCAGCCAACGTCCTGGGGCTGGAGTAACATTGAGCTGAAGAGCAGGTCCGCCCTAAAGCCCCTTGATAAAAGCGTTTTTTACAAGTACCGCCAACCATTGTTGTGGAAGCGCGCGAGACACGTGCCATGAGCGGGAGCTCCGCCGTCATTCGCTTCCAAGGCCCGCTCATTTCAGTGCTGCGCCGCCATTTGCTTCCAAGGGCCGCTCGAGACATGGGCCTCGTGCACTCGCGCATTTGACGCTACTTGCAAGACAAACGCAAACACATCGAGGGGCTTTAGTCCGCCCCACCTGGGCGCGCGGGATTTCACTTGCAAAGGTGTGGTATTTGCAGCGCGTCGCCGACGGTGTGTGTCTTAGAAGCTTGAGCAAGCTTCAGTTCTTTGAGCACCTGCTCTTTCTTGAAGAATGTCATGAACGTTCACACACTTACGAAAACTAGCGTAAGTGAGCCTGAATGAAATTACAGGTCGTGATGTAACTTTTAGTGTTCAAAAAAGAGGACAGGAAGGGTCAAGTTGGGTTCGGTGGCATACGTTAATGCAACAGCAAATCAAAATGTTGTAATTATTTGCCGATACTATTTTTTTACCTATCGCTGCCAAACAAACAAGTCCCCAGTACACAGGGGCGGATCCAAGGGGGGGGAGGGGGGGCGTGGGGGTAACCCCCCCCCCCCCCACACACACACACACACAGTTGACTCCCCCTCCCCTTCTCGGAGGGCAACTTGACATGGACGGACCCCCCGGTGCACAATAAAGAATGGGAGAATAGTATCAATTGAAAACGAGCGTGTTGGTTAATAGATACGAAAACTTGAAAGTGGACAGCGAGGACGAGGATGGGAACGGGACTTCTTTCATTTAGCAACAACATAGAATGGCCGATAAAACGACCCCCCAAAGGTTTCAACGTTCTTGAAAAGGGAAAGGAAATAATTCTTATAAAGGAAATGGAATTTACTGTATATATTAAAGTTGAAAAAGCACTGGCGTCGCGACGAGGTATCACTAATCTAGTTATCTCTGATTACTTAGAATTCGACCTTTGTCATTGTCAATGATAATGAAGGGGCAGAAATATTGTTGTTTACTGTCCCAAAGAGAAATGTACTATAAGGAGTGTGCAAATATTCGAGTTCTTCGAATACTTTGCAAGCTACGAATAACGCGGAACTCGCTGATTAGTGTCAACTCGCGATCGAGTCCCCTGTCTTCTTTTTAGACAAACCCAAAAAGCCAATCTAAATTCTTTTTTTTATGATGCACTGGAAAGTGATTTGCGGTAGCGCGATCTGTTTTCTGCTTGCCATGATGTCTGGATTCCAGAGTTGGTGAAGTGGTCGTGACGCAAACGCTGCGATAGATTTGACTAAGTTTGCAACGGCACGTGCATTGTCATAAGCACAAACGTGGCGGACCACTCTTACTACTATGGACTCGGATATGGATTTACGGCTGACCTTGGCTATCGGCGCTATATGGCTCGTGTTATTTTCGGCTTGATTTTTCGGTTCATCAGTTTGCCAATATTCCTTTTGTTATTTATTTCTACCCGTTTTCACTGGTAAAAGCGAGACTTCCTCCCTCTGCCAAATAAAAAAAAAATACGTATTGTTAATTTATTGCTTCTTTGTAGCGCCCGCTGTCAACAGAACTATTGCACAGGAAAAGAGATGGCGCAATCGAACAATCAGCAAGATCTCAAAAAAAAAAAAAAAAGGAAAGGTTGTTTTTATGTTTATACAACCTAAAACTTGGTCTGCCTCCAGGTGCGACAAGTCTCCCAGCTGTAGATGAGAAACTTAGGCAGTGCAGTACATCCGCTAGCTTAGGGTCTTTAAAGTGCATCAAGCGCAGTAGTGATACATGACCGCACGCCGGTACGATGCTCATTCAGATCGAAACGGGCAGGCGTGGGGATTGAGCCCAGGATCCTGGGTTTTGCAGCGCGAGCTTTCGCTCCACGTGCTCCGAGCTGGTGTGCGCGAGCCCATTCGGCCACCGATCCCCCCAACACGATCTCTAAAGGCCGGTTCAGACACTTGCGTTTGAGTGCGTTTGACTGCGTTGCGTCGAGTACCGAAGGCCAGTCACCGGCACATCTGCGCTTCATATGAAGCGTGGAATCCAATTCAAGGAATCATCTTGGCATGCGATATAAGCAGCAGGGATGTCCTGGTTTCTCGCTGCCGCAACGCAGTAAAACGCAGTCAAACGCAACTGTCTGAACCAGGCTTAACTCTGCTGTGTCCTGCCGACCCGCCTCCGCTTGTGTACTTCGGTTTACGTTCACGGTGTTGCGTTCACCCGCGTAAAAAGAGTTTGCACAAAGTCGATGCAGCTGCGCGACGCAGTTTTCGACTTTGTATTGAGGCTTGCCCTCGTCACCGCTCGTGTACTTTCGTTTACGTTCACGTAGTTGCGTTCGTCTGCGACGCGATCTCTGACTGCGTTATGGCTTGCAGACCCGCCTCCACTTGCGTACTTCCATTTACGTTCTGTAACTTGACTCATTGAATGGTGTTTTACTGACTGATATCTTATTTCATCCGTTTTCTTATCGGTCGCATGTGT